TTAGTTTGTTAAAATTGTCACATACACAAGGAAATACAGAGGAATTCACAGAAAAACTTTATAATACTGAGTATACCTACTACTAATAAAAAGCTAGAACAGACAGGTAATTTCCATGAACTATTAATGGCAATAGGCTTTTAGTTTGACGTTTCTGGATACGTTTTAAACCCTATTAATGCCAGATTTGGCATCGATCAGGAGTTTCTATGAGAGTAGCTATTAACATAATTATACACATAATATTTGACGCAGACTGTATTACTCGCTTGATGGCCTGTTAACCCCTGTAAGGAATATATTGCGTGCAGAAACAAGCATTGCATTCAACTGTAGCGGTTATCCTTGTCTCTTTTAACTAATGAATTACAGTTATTTTAAGTTGTGTATAGTTATGACAGCTCATATATTTAATTCAAGGTTTTTGCTTCAATCAGAAGTTTTTATATCAACACGGTGCCGATGATGTCACTTTAAGCATTTATATTTATGATAAAACGTCTTCGCAAAAGGAAAGAACTATTGTGTTTGTGGGTGCTTGAAGTGTGATGTGAATGGTACAGGAAACTGCGCGTGCGCTGTAATCTGATGTAGAGATGAGCTGCGTGGGCGCACCCCCGCGGCTAATTTACCCAACAATTAACTACTCGAGCGCTGTAGACCAATGAATTGTTTGTATGAATAGACGGTCACTAACACGTGGTGGGCTAATTTTAAATTAGGTCAATGATTGTTGACAGTTCCTTCTTACATACTCATTAATCTTAGTGACAGACATGTCATTTAACGTCATTTTTTATGATGTTATTTTTTTTTAAGTTTACTTTAGACTTTATGAAAATTACTACATTAGTTCGATTACTTAGTAAATATCTCCAATCAATAACTATCTACATGAAAGATATAGCAGGTCAAGCTGCAATTCCTAACTGTTGGGGATAGCTCCAATAAACCTGGTCGGTTTACCCAGTCAGTAGTGGGGTCAGTTTCTGTAATTTATTGGAAATGTCTCAGTAAGATATGCCTGCAATAAACGTTGTTCTCGAATTGTTGTTGTGGCCTGAACAAGGAGAGAGGTGAGGTGTACGGTTACATGAGCGGCGATCGGCAACAGTTGTGTTTGTGGTGTGTTCACATGTGTACATAACGACTGAGTGTGTGTGTGTGCTGCGTTCGGCGTGGGACGGGGCATTGCATTTTTTTGCGGACGCCAGATGAACGTAAGGTCGTTGAACCCCATCGCTTGACTCGAATTTAGCCAACGGAGCGCATCTTTCTTCTCTCCACCACTTTATCCGAATGCATTTCTAACGTTAACTTTTGTTGCACAAAACTTGTCAATCTTTATTCTTATTTTGAATTATCTTACTTAGAATTGAGATCACAAATGGGGCAACGTTCAACACATTGAAAAGTTAACTCTTTGCACCTACTAAAGTGGCATATTGACAGCACCTAGAGCTGTAAAATTGTTTTTTTATCTTCACGATAACATCTGACTCGTTCTTTTGGTTAAAAGAGAAGGGGATAATTTTAAAATGATAATGCATTTAGGTACAATTTTATTGTTTTTTGTGTGAGTGAGTTAGTTCGTAATTGCATGATGCGCCGCTCCGTCCATCGGATCGGCATGCATTGTGAACAGGCGGGCGGGCGGCACGTGATCAGCTGGCCGTATATCGCTGCAACTCGTTAAAAGCTGAAAAAAGCGATCAAAACAATTAATTTGCACCGTTCCGTGCTCACGCCACGTCTCTCATTCGGGAAGAATATGTGCTGTATGAATTTATGAGGCGCAATAATCTCTCAGCTCTTTGTATGACCGAGCGCTGCGCTCGTCACAGACTAAGATAATGTGTAATATAAATTCAGAACGGTGGTTTCCTTCGAACGCAAAATAGGCTAGACTAGAAGCAGTATCGCCATTACTAACTGCTAATTGCTCATTAAAATGTTTGAATGTAAGATTTGCTTTCGGTATTCCCATTACAATCGAGTAGTTTCTTTATGATAGTTAAACGTTTGTTTGGGAAGGATAAAAAACCTTGGCTCTTACTTTATTGTAAACAATAGTGATTATTTTCTTTAGTTAACATTGATACAGATCCATCAAGTCTGTCAAAGTTGTTAAATTATTACTCACAGAACAGAACTACTGAAGACACTACAAAAAAACTATTCAAAAACTGGTTTGAAAATTCGCCTTAGTACGATCTATCAATCTAAGCAAGTCCATAATAGACTTTTGAGTTGAAGGTAACAATAAATTGGCCTTGTCTCGGCCAATGACACTATCTCGCAACGAATGTTTTGCAGCTCTGCATTATTAAGATGATAGCTAGTTAAAAAACGGCTAGGTATTTTGAGTCAAACTTGTATAAGAAGCGTATAAACGAGCTTTTAAAGTCACGCTTGGCGGAGTGTAGTCGCAAAAACCAGCACACTCGCGGCCGTCTGCGCTCGCGCACGCCGCGCCGTCCGCCGCCGCGGCGGACGCTGCACGCCTCGAATGCATAGACAGACATTTTAACTCATCTGAGCTTAAACCAGCCGATGGTTAAAAACGCGCGCACACGAAGATTCGAGCAAAAGATGTCCAAAAACGTGTTCTTTTGTATAACGATCGGCCTGAATTTTATTAGTGATGTACTTATAAAAATGTAGAACCCTAAAAACGATAAATATTCTCATTTATTGCATTATGCATGTCCTTGTTGATCCAGCATTTACATGCACCATCATTACCATCAACCTGTCGGTGATTTGTTATTTTGAATTTGGAAACTGACACTATATCTATGACCTTCTATATCCTAATTTAGCAAAAATAATGAGGATCTTAGAAAATATTTAGATATTGATGAACTTTTATGTAAATTCTGTTCTGTCTAACGACATCAAAGTTTTCCATAATATAAACACATATTTATTTAGTATCTATTCACAGATATTAAGGTACGATTTTTTTAACAAAAATTAATTCAATCCTTGGTTATGCATTTGTATTTTGAGTATTGAGGTTTTGAAAAAAAAACTTAAAAGTTTATCAAAGACCAATAAGTCCAGATTAGTTTTTGTGAGTCCTCGAGTCTTTTAATGTGAATACTTTTTGATTTACTTGAAGATTTACATCATTCTTACGACAAATTTAAAGGCTCCTCAATAATAAGTGCCTTATAAGAAGCGATTATGACCCAAACTTTTTGATGCAACTTCAGTAATTCGACGTCTAAATGCTTTTATTTTATTATCCTCCCACTGCATCCTATTTATTACTTTTGACTTCCAATCTTCTTTCATTATCAGTGATTCAAAACAAAGGAATTTCTATAAAGTTATTTTGATTTTAGCCAAAACGTAATGTAATGCCGTTTAACAGATAATATAGTCATAGGCACAGGTCAAGTTATCATAACTGAAAAAAATCCGAAACTGACTTTGAGCTTTAATTAACAGACATAAGATTTTGCAGCGATTGATTTTTTATAAAAACATTTTGTGGTGATGTATTGCTGATTAAATAATAATATAAATGTAGTCAGTTCAGACAAACTCAAGAGCATTTTATGGTTTACAATCGGCACAATTATGTCTCGAGAGAGTTAATAGACAATATGTAAAATCAATGAAATGGCCGTGATCCTGGCATAGTGGATTGTGAATTCGGTTGCAAATTCCCAAGATGCATCGGAATGCGTTTCATCTGCATTCTAATGAACCTATTCTGCATTCTCGCAAAATATTCTTAAATATAAAGAGAAGATTGCCATTCAAAAACTTCCTTGATGTTTTGCGAAAGCAGAATATGTGTATCAGATTCTGGACACTTAATAAGAGAAATTTCCGATATCCATGTAATTTTAGGCAGGAATATTAGAAAACATTTGTCATCGCGGAGCAGTTGGTGGCAAATGTTTAAATGGGTTTGTTAAGCCAGAACTATACTTAAGTGTAGTGTTGTGACGCGATCTGACCCGATCGGTTTCATGCATTTAGTAAGGTTAGAACTATACTTGTGTGTCGTGATGTGTCGCATCGTTTTCGACAGCGTTCTCATACTAAATGTATGAAACAGAAAGCTCTCTGATGCGTCAGAATACAGCCAGACAAATACATAAATGTAGTTCTGCCATTAGTTGCGGTATAAACACAGGTCATCAATACGATGAAGGCATCGCGACCCTTCTATAAATAGTTGCTATGAGGTCGTTGTGCCATTGATCCAACTCTTGCATTACTTAATGATTTATTACGGTACAGATCTGCATATTATGAGATGCCTTCTTATATTATTGTCAATATAGCTAAACATCATAAAGCAAAAAATATGTAACCTATAAATTTGATCTAACTGCAAAATGTATCTGTTCCTTGTCGTGTCCCAATACCGGTTTTCGTAAAGTTATAACTTTACAGTGGGTGGAGTGCATATTGCAGAGTGGTCCGTAGCATGTCCTCGAGCGGGTCACGCGCGGCGTTCAAACTCGTTTCGCGGCGCGGGCGCAGGCTAGCGCACTTTCGCCGCTCTTCGGCTGCGCCCGAGTTCGTGTTGCCTACTCGCTTACTCATACATAACCTCTACCCTCCCCTCACCCCCCGATCTGATCGGTCCAATTCCAAGACAGGTTTGCCGATGCTTTAGTGCTTTTGACTTTAGCAAAATTCGTCCCTTGCGAATTGCAGATTGCAGAGCTTTTTCTTACTCTGACTCTGCCAACTACATATTTTGATTGCAAGAAATATCTTTATTCTTTAAACTTCTAAATGGCAAATATTTGTTAAAATTTTAAATAAATTTCAAAGTAATATAACATTATAACCACAAAGTCTGTATTATGTTTATGATTATCTAGTCATGTAGAATTTCATAACACATAATAATTATCATTCTGTAGTATTTTTTTCTTGGAACTACAAGATATTATAAATTGCATGAAATAAAAAGCTTTTTTGCTCAAGAAGTGGAAGTAATCGGTGCAACACATTGACCGGCTAAAACTCTACACAATCGACGGGGCGGGCGGAAGTGTGGCAGTGGCGAAAAGCTCGCAATCGCAACTGCATGAGGAGAAAGGAAGCGGCGCGACGCGCGATGTGATAAGGCGGCCGGCTGGCGTCAGTCGCGGGGCGAGTGGGGGCCGCGGGGCGGGCGCGCAGCGCGCGGGGTGCGGGGTGCGCGCGCACCGCCAGCCCCCGCGCCGCGCTACTCGCCTCCCGTCAGTCGCCCGCCGACTCCGCTTGTGCTTGTGTGATTCGCGCCGCTCCGTGCACCGCACTCGTGCTCCGAACACGACGCGTGCCACCCCGCTGTGGCCATAAACGCGACCTCTACGCTACCGGCGAAACGTTACCTCCTAACTTACGTGCAACTTGCTATATTTTAACTTTTGGACGTTCACATCCCCTTATCTGGCTTGTTTACCCCTCATCATGTAAGTGTACCGGCTCATTCTATTAATTCCGACATCGCATCGTAGACACGAATTCGGTACTCGCGGCGAAGTGTGCGTGAAAGTTTTTTGTGAGTTATAAAAATTTGGTGTGATTATTTCGTGTCAAGTATTAAAATTTTAGTGCGTATTTTTTGTGGACGGATGGAATTGAATCGTCGAAGATTTTCGAAATTCGATGGTATATGTTCTCCAAGTTAAAAAAACGGCATGTTTTTTTATACTGGATGGTCGGAACATAGTGTAGCTTGGTGGAATTCGATCGCCGCATAGGAGCTTTTTGTTTGCTGCACCAAGCAGCCGTCCACTGGAACTAAGAGTGACGGCGCCAACGCTTGGCTTTCATCAATATTAACCTAAATGAAAGTTTCCTAAGTAAAGCTCTTCCTAATCCCCTTAAGAAACTTTCCTTCCTCATTACTCAACTCCAACAGTATTACCAACTTATGTTTCACTTCTGTTCGAGATATGAGAGTGCCTTTATGACTATTCTCGGAAAATTTTGTCCAAACCAATCCGTTTCTTGATACCTTCTATCCGCAGTCGTAATACGTTCAATCATTCTGTCATCGGTGTCAAAATTTGAAGAATTGGCCTTAAATCTAAAAAAAATATCCGAGGTGCGCTTTGTACCTAATTCACCATGTTTGATATTATTCGCTTTAATCTAATCAAAAAAAGCATTACATACAAGTCAAATCAAATCAATCATTTTGATTATTTACTTAATGCATTGTAAGCTGTTGATAAAATCACCAACCCATTTCTTCATTTTTATGCAATAATTATGTAATAAATATATCACAAAATCATATGAAAACCGACGTTACTCATAGTGAATTTGTAAACTTAGGTGATGTCATTTTTATATTTGCAAAATACATTTATTGATAGAGACCGGCAAAATATTCCACGCAATCACTAGTGATAAGGAGCTGACCCACGAATATGTTATTATTAAGTACCTATATTCGAAACTACATTTAGGTACATAATTGGTAAGTTCATCCATTATATTGAACTTGTCAATGTCAAAGATTAATTTATCAAAACTACACAGAAAGAATTTTATTACTAGTTAAAATTAAAGTTACAGGAAAATCAAAGTGTTGTTAAGATCTTAAAATACGGGCAGAAACTGTTCCTAACGATGCCAAATAAAAATTAGAAGCGAGACATTGAAAGTATTGTCGAAATTCCGAGCATCAGACCGACCGACGCTACTGTAATGTGTTAATTTGTAAAATATGCGTTTTTCTTAATCCATTAAAGTTCACAATAGTTTGTGTGCACCATTTGTAGGAAGGGTAGCAGCTGTGGCACTACCTGATCCCCACAATAAACCGTTGTCAATAGCAAACACCCCCTAAATTATTATTATAACTGATAACGATAATTTTGGGATATGTTTCTGGTCCTGCTTTAGAGCTGGTTATAATATTTAAAAGCTAAATTTCATGTTTCTTAGTAACTGCATATTTACAGAATTGTGAGAATACTGCCTGTCTACATAGCATTTGCTTTTTCAATATTGTCTAGTATGTATTTATATTTCTTATGAAGTCTGCAAACAAGAGTAAAGTAAATAGTAATAGGTCATGTTTAAAGAGCTGTGCAGATGTAATTACAGTGACACTTAGCAACATGTGTTTCAAAGAATTAAAATTTTACTTATACTTCAATGGAAAATTATGTATGTACAAGATTTGCTGCAGTAAATTTCCATCATTATAAATACGTACTTAGAGGAAAAAGTTTGATCCGATTTCGCGAGAGAGAATTCTGCATGGTAATATTTGAAAGGAAAAAGAATTGTAGAAAGATAATGTTTATGCATCAAATAATGGGGCGGGCATATCCTTTACATAGTTGTCTTTAGAAATAAGATTAAAAAATGCATCAGAAATACAACATTACACACACCAACATGCCACATACAATGAGCAGAGAAGTATATTTTTGTCAGAAGAACCTCTTAAACTGTCAAATTTTAAAAGGTCTTATTTCAGCTAATAGGCTACCACTAGTACTTTTACTTGGAAACATCAAAAGACTTGCTGAAAATATTTAATTTAGAAATTGTTTTATGAACACTACATCTAAAATAATTTTCGGTGCTTACAGTATCTGAGAGAAAGTTGCAAGCATATTTTAAACTAACTTAATATTTAACTACTAGCCTACTGCTCAGTTTAAATTTTCTGTATTAGTCTAACGCCATTTAATATTAAGTAAAAAGAATTCAGTAAAACAGATTCAGTCAAATACAGAAATTGGAATTCATTTTGGGATTGGTTTGGATATGGATAAACCTGTAATTCAGTGAATGCAGCCTGCATATCAGCTTTTGACTATATTATAGTGCTCAACGAAACCTTTCTAAAGTTACACAATAAAATAATTGCATTCAGCTTAAATCATCGCTTCTGCACCTTGTGGTATTTCTAAAGCGTTTTTTTTCACATTTCTGTGTTCCCTGCAAAAAAAAATAGAACAGTCTACATTGGTTTTTGCACTATATAAAATACCACGTGCCATATTTAAACAAAGCGACCTCCCGTTCTGAGAGCTTTTATTACGTGATTTTGCAATCCGTTCAGCTAGGAACACTGATGGGATGAATAAGGAATTTAAATATGTTTTGAGGGTTGAGTAAGGAAAAAATAATGAGCAGGATGAGGCGTTGTCATACGATGAATACGGGCGACCTCTTTTAACAATAGTTATAAATAATTGTTATTATAATACAGAAAAATATTTTATTGTTAGAAAAGTAAGTCAGTCTGAGCAAGTGAAATAAAAATTAATAAAAAGCGAATATAAAATATAACCTTAGTCATGGATGTTTTATGTTTATACACGTCCAGACCGACGTTTGTTTGCTACAGACCGTTGAAACTTATAACACTAAGTGGGCCGATAAATGTGTCCGGAAGTATATATATTTCTAGTTAAAATATACTTATATATGTATCAGTATATGTATTCTATCCGTTACCCTAGCATCCCATAACACAAGCCTTACAGTGGTTTCTTTGGGGCTAGGATAATTGGTGTGAGTGTGGGAAATATTCATTTATTATTATTTATGTAGGTAGGTATCTAGAAGACGGTAAAAATGATTTTGTAAGAAAAGAACTAAACCGAGTCAAAAGATAAAAGACTGTTACCTACTTAGTGCTTGAAATGCAATTAAATAGCAACGTGGGTTATCTCCATTATTATCTTATCGTGCAAATTAAAAGTATGGCCATCGTCACTAAAAATATCGTAAAATACAAACACAATCTATCGATAACGAAAATTTCCTAAGATTTTTCTTTGTGTTTTGCCACAAACATTAACCAAGTCAAATGTTAAAATCCCGAATGTTGAGCGTGAATATGCAAGTGAAAACATACCAAATAAAAAGAGCGTTTTAAAAGGTGTTGGAGACTGTAAAGAGCAAATGAAAGGGGCGTCTTCGTTCTCGGTTGTAAATTTGCAAAGAAATTTGCACGGTGATTCTGTTTATATTGTGCGACTTTTTTGTTGGCGGCGGGCGTGCACATTGCGACGTCGCCCGCCATATCCAGCATTGTATTTTTGTACCATGAACGTTTTGTTGATGTGATCAGTTTAATGTCGGCGCGGGCTGGCCCCGCACCACGTTCGATAAGGCGTGCACATTAACGGGCGGGCTGCAGCGATAGCGCCCCGGAATCGTGTAATTTGCGCCTCGTAAATTTAAACTGTCGCAAATTTTTCGCCTCTTCTGCTAATTACCAGTCCACTGTCGTCCCCTGAGACTGCTAAATGTGCCTCGCGCATGACCCGAATGCAGGAGCAACTCCGTCCTACCTCGCTATACTGCTTTTCGACCGCTGAACAATAGCCTTTGTTTTGGCGTGGCTGACCCTACACAAAGTCAGCAACTTCATGCACAATATATTTTATTAGAAGAAACAATGTTGCTAACATACATGTAACACCTAACAAACACATTTCAATTATATTATCGTCAATGTTTATAGTACTTCTAATAATAACTAGGGATAACGAATATCCAACATATTTCTAAATCCATTTGTATGAGGTAAGAAAATAAACTTTTATTGAAGTTATACTTCTTTAGCCGCGTTATGAAAAAATTATGAGAGTGAAATTTTCATCACTGTAACACAAAATTTTAACATAATGAAGTTAGCCGCGGGCGCGTTATTTGTAATATTTTATTTTCCAAGTGACCGTGGGGCAGATTTGAACAAAGCAAACAGGGCAGATTTGAAATGATATGAAATGAAATGAAATTTTAAACGATGCCAAAGAAGGATAACTTCTCACGCGCCTACATAAGTACACGCACCCATTTTTTTTTATATGTGTTTATTCAACTAAATATATAATTATCTTAAATCATTTTAAGTAAAATCCTATAACTTGGATCTCTTTTTATGATTAAACATGCTCTATACATAAAGAACAATTTAAACATTTATATTTACAACACAGTTATATTTAGAAAATATGAATTCACCTTCTCACCTAGCTTCATTGGAGACGGAATAGGTGCTAAAACAAAGAAGCTTTCTCTTTTGATTTAAAATCACAATTTTAATTAATAACAAGTACCTACCTAGTTAATTAATGTTGGCAAACATTTTTTATTATGGACTAAATATGAAAAGAAAACAAACTTTTACACTACGAAAACGGCTAAAAATAAAGTTTCATACGATTTTCCCTAATAGTTGCTAGTCATGAGTCAACCAACGCCCCTGACCAATGTAGAGTCGTACGCAGAATAACAAACGGTGACATCACTTTGCGTCTGCTCGCTCCAAGCAAGTATGAAACGCATAAATGTTAAATTTTTAACCATTCCATCGATATTTATGACTGAAGATGCGCCAACCATCGATAGCTATATGAAATGTATCCCAGTATGGGTACAAATTACAGATATTATTCAAATGCAGTAAGTACACACATGAAGTAAAATTTATTGGTTGTTCTGATAGAATATGATAGTAGAATAGGGAATGCAAATCTCGCGAGATTGGCAGTTTTGTGTTTTTTTTTTGCAAATAAATTGGGAAAAAAATGATAACAATTATTATAAGATTAAAAAAATATTTTAACGATTTTTTTCAAAATTCGTTAAAATAACGAGTTCTATGCATCAAACTTGGGTTGACGTATCTGTCTATAATTTTTTAATAAACTTCTAAATAGTAAACTTTGATGTACGTATCTATCAAATCCAAAATTATTCATATATTAATAACCTAAGAGGATATTAGCGCAAATGTGCGAAAGGATGATATCATTATTTATTACGCAGACTCCATACATTTTTTTCCAAAAGAAATTTAACTGCGCTGTTTACAATTATAAACTAGAAAGTTTATTATATCAAGCATATATACTAGGTATTCTCAATCGTTTTCAGGCAAACACGGCGATACTTTGCGATGCGAAAAAATGAGCGAGTCTTACAGTAGTCGCGTATGATGTGTAACATTTGAAATCTCACCTTATATTAGTAAGAAGAGAAATAAAACCTACTACAAAAGGAATAAGCCACTTGAACATTATGTTCTAAAATCAAATCAAATAGCGCGCGCTTTCGTTATTTCCTGTTACACACTTCTTCCCATTTCACGAAATCACTCCCACAAATTACAGGAAAGCGAGAGGAAAGATGTTACACATTAAAAAATCTAAAATGTCTATGATCCGCGATTTTCAGTCCATACTGTGGGCCGCCGCCTCACGCGCACCGAACGAAACCGACAGATCACAACTCCGCCCGTGCTTCAAATAAGACGTTTTTATGCTCGAATGCAATCGTCACTTTTGTGTTCTGCAAATTAATATTGTAAATCAGCACGTTGAAAAATGATTGATAGGAAGAAAAATATTTTATAAAAAAACTCACGGACCCGAACGACAATGTCCCGTCCAATAAAATAGTGAAAAAAACTTTAATCTCGTCTCCAGCGGTGAATATGTAACTATTTTTTTTTTGTTTTCTGTGTAATTTTTCTATTTATTTTCCGTTAGAACCTTATTTAAAGCATCTATTAGAAAATAAAAAAATGAATAGATAAAATCGGAAAAGTTGTTTTCAAGTATTGGCATAGGCAAATAGGTATTATTTTTTTCTTACAAAAGATAATAATTGCTGAAATAAAAATAATATGCATAAGACAGATATAATTATTCTTCCGGGAATATCGTAATTGTTGCATTCGCTTACAATGAAGCAAAACTAAAAGACACATCCAGCAGCGGGACAGTCGCAAAACGTTTTTCTGGCCACAGTTTTGGGTTTTTCTTATTTAATTTATTTAAAAGTAAAGTAAATAATCAAGTTGTTTTAACAAATTTGCGATAAAAAAAAGATTTAACGATTTTATCTTTATTTTCCTTTTCTTTACTTTTAAAGAAATGAGAAAATCCAAAACAGTTGCCAGAAATACGTTTTGTGACGACGGCCCCGCAGCTGGAAGTGTCTGCAACAATGTCTGCTAGTTTCAGATTCATTCGATTACACACTCATGTAAAGCTGTGGACGTAGACGTAAGCAAATGCCCGGTGAAGCGTGTCGAAGGTCACCGCGGCGGTGGTGGTTTTGCGTCGTTCTAGCCCGCTCGCGGCCATGCGCGACTCCACTGGCCAAGGTCGACTCGAGCCGACTTGTCTCGCTTTCCATCTGTTCATTGTGCGTTAGCCTTGCCGTTTCAGTAGTTTTTATCGTCCGCCACCTCACTGCTCCATTTCATTACCGCAATCTGCAGCACAGATAAGCACGGCCAGCACAGATAACAAAACCCAGGAAATGTTATCGCCGCCCTTTTAACATTAATTGGACACGATTCACAACTAAACGAAACCTACAGTAACGATTTACTAAGAAATTTTAATGACTGTAGCTGATGGATGTTGCGAAACCTTGTGATGGATTTTGATTGCCTGACTGTGGAGAAACGTTTGGTGTCCATTTATAACAATGCAAAAGGTCACATATCAAAAGTCAGTTGTCTTAGACAATAAAACCAAATGTCGATTTATAAAGTGACAGGCATAATTGCTAGCGAAGGTTACGCTGCAAACAACAACTCCTTTCGAACAAGCGAACCCATGTGCGCGACCTTATGCCGATTTCAGACGAAATTATTTCTATTGAACACTCGAGACCTTCAACTGAATAAAATCATAACCTTTCTAAACATTCTCTTATAGATTTAAGTCTGTATCTTTTACTTTAACTGTTGGATAACGCAAGAGACCCATAAAAAGTAATGGCCGTACATTGAAACAAATGTCGCTATTAAGTTCAAACGTGACTTACTAATAGCAATAATAAACAAAAAAGTGCGGTCGAGTGAATTGCGAAGTGCATATATTTGTGAGTGCACTTTTTTCGAAAAATTACGCTACTTAATTATTTTTTTATCCTTCAAATAATTCCAGCCAGGTTCATCACATTCCGATTGTCTTGATAGCTCAGCGGTAAGAGCGCCCCCTTTCAGGTGGGAGACCCTGGTTCAAGTCCCGGTCAAGACCAAGGATGCTGTTGAGCCGTCTGGTTTTTGCCGAGGAGCAAATGATTTTCAGTTTCTATGCACTCAACCGCTCTTCCCTAGGGGTATCAGCTGAATTGACATGATAAATTCTTCGATGGTAACTTGATCGAATCGGCGATCGCACAAAGGCTCGCGCTCGACTGTTTTTCTCCCTCCCCCATCCCCTTACCCGACCGCTCTCACGAGATTCTTATTTAGATTCGCTTCCGTCTGATTGCTCTTGGTAATCTTTTCACTAGGTTATTGAATGTCTTCTCCGTGCGTGTCGAGCACCGAAGGAAGCTCCGTCGCAGCGACCTCGAGAAATGAATAAGTCCCGTTGAAGTTACTATTCTTTATTAATTTTTTTATGTAGTGTGTGATCGTTAACCATTTAGAGTTTGCTAATTTGTTTGTTGATGTAACCATATTGCTCAATATTAGTTACGAGTACGTGTGTTCGTGATTTGCTAGTTCTACAGGAGGTCGTCTTTTTTCTGTTTTAGTAACTTCTCTTAACATAATCTGTTGGCATAGTTAGTGGACGAATAAAAATGATTTACTAATTAAGATTAGTCTTGTCGTATCTAATCCACTATTACTTTATCTAATTACGACCTAATCCGTTTTCGTGGCAGATATCAGTTTTCCGTCATTATCTATTCTTGTTTTATCATTGATTACATAAATGCCATCTCCCGCGGCCCGCGCCGGTCGGGGCGTAGCAAAAAATTGGAACGAAAACTAGATTCGTTGTTTTCTGCTCTCGTAGCAATGACGTCTGACTGAGGGGCGCTCTACCTCCTCCGGCCTCGATAAAAAAAACCGTTGCATCCATGTTGAAAATAAAATTTAAAGATTTATGCACGGTGGAGAGCGCGACGTTGCGTTGCCGCACACCGAGCTATTTTCAACCGAGTTATGCTTTAAATAGCGCATTACGATAGGATTTGGTTTCACGAGATTTTCCCTGTTCACAGCACAGAATACGTGCGTGCGACTGCCCGCTTCAACGTTTTTCTCGACGCTCTTACAGGCGCTCGCAATAACCAGAAACTGAAATATCTGTAACATCTAAAGTTATGTGGTACATTTATGATCTTCAAGTCATTTGATGATACGTATCTAACTGTCACATCTTTTCGAGATGGCAACCTTCGTTAATTTTTCTCACACTCCATCCATTCCATGAGATGAATCCTAGAACCCCGCATTAGTATTGGAAGTATTTAGTTGTAAAATATTATTATTTTATCTGTATTGTATTGCTATCGTATTATACTTATAGGTACATTGTAAGTCTAGAATTAAGGTACAATTCCGCAATGGGCAGCAGGCAACAACCGCAGGCGACACTGCGGCTGACCGCCACGCTCGGAATCAATTTCATAGAGATTTGTAGAAACTAGTAGTGTCGCCTGTAGTCTGCGGCTGCGGTCTGCGGTTTAATTCGGACTTGTACCTTTCCCTACCTAAATGTTTGTATATTTTTAGTAGTAAAAGGGCAGCAGGTTCGAGGTGGCGAGCTTCATGTATAAAGGTATCTAATGCCAGCATCCGACTTTCAAACGATTCTTAACTGCTAATTTTTTCTTGCGCACCTTCATAGTTTACCTAAGCTGCATCTATTGCTGGCAAATAACAACCATGGCAACCAGAGTTAAGACCTATTACCTACCTGCCTTCGATCTGCTGCCTGTGAGTGCAGGCACGAGGCCTGTGAGCGGCCGTCGCGCGCGCGCTTGCTAACCCGGTAGCCGCTTATGCTTGGCTCCGGGGCCGACCGCCCGGAGAGTAACCAGTGTGTTTTGTTGTTCGCAGAGTTGAGCCCCGCACCGCACCGGCTTGCTCGCTGACCGCCGAGCCGCTAATCTCGCTTTTTTCGCGCCCCACCGTCGCCCGCCAGATCCGCACCGGCCGCCGCCGCCATGCTCGCGCACCAAGCACCGCTCGCCCTCTACTAAACTCAACCGTCAACATCGATAAGAACGCGTGTGATAATAATAATAATTTAATACTCGCCTAAATAAGCTTGCAACGTCGGTGTCTTTAATTCTAACTTTTAGTAAGATAAGATTAATCATTTAGTAAGTAACAATAGTCGAAGCGCGTAAAGCGGTGCCCCGTGTTCGTGTGTGCTAAGTGTGTGGTAGTGAGGTGCGCGCGCTCGTATCGCAACAGCCGCAAGGAGTGCATGCAAGAGCGCGCGGGCGCGCTCGCCCCCCGCGGCCTATGCGCCGCACTGCGTAACTGCGCGTAACTACAACCCCGTCTACTAGTGCCAACGATGGCCACCATGGTGAACATGAATAGCCTTCTCAACGGCAAGGACTCACGCTGGCTCCAGCTCGAAGTGTGCCGCGAATTCCAACGGAATAAGTGCTCGCGGCCGGACACCGAATGCAAGTTCGCGCATCCCCCGGCTACCGTCGAGGTGCAAAACGGAAGGGTCACCGCTTGCTACGACAGCATCAAGGTAATTTTCTTTACAAATTTTGCCATATCTGTTCACTACTACCATTTCACCCTCATGTCCCCGAAAATGCTTGACTTTCAGATCACGTTTTAGAAATCTCTTTTAATATAAAGGAAGTTTATGGTAAGCACACCAGCCTATCGGGGAAAGCATTTATTGCGTACGATTTTTCGGATGAACGAAAACAACCCCTCAAGTCAAGGCGACATTTTGCCGCCGTCGTTCCGCTCGCCGACTGGCTCGGGTCGGTGACGTCACCAGAGCCTCCGACGTCTGCCATTGTGTGAGAACTAGCATAATGAACAGGGCGATGACTCGCTGCTTAAACTTGTATTTTCTTATTCCGAACATCATGTAAGACACTTTCAAAAGTATTGGTTGATTTGCGTTATATTATGATGAAGTGTTTCCATTAATGTGATAGTGTTACCCTTAGTAGCTTTACCTTAACTTTATGCTGTTTCGAATGAAATTAAGCGTAGTAATAATTGCAATTCAAGTATACTTACTTGAATTGCAAATCTAAACAAATTACAGAGTTCAAGACATATTATGAACAAGTGTGTAATACAAATTTCTTACTTTTAAAATTATACGAAGTTGCATATTACGGAATTATTTCAGTGTTGTAGGCAAAAAGTCGATCTAACAGCAACGAACGACTATCAGTTTACATTTGAGCTGACGCGATACGGTGTTATCACGCATGTGGAATGACGTGATAACGCACTAGCTTTCGGACGAACACAGGCGATAAAAATTAAAACTGATATTTAAGCGCGAAAACCACGCCGCCACTGCATTGCTCGGGGCCAGTAACTTATCGCGATCACTCGGACGCGGCCCCAACCTACTACATAAATAACCAATAATAACGCAAAGCTATAAACAAACTTATTATGCACTAGCGGTGTTATAAATTAAACTGAGTCAAAAGTTTACAAATGCAAACTCACAAATTCTACTCGCAGAACATCAAATACTTTGCTAGCACAAATAGCCGGCTTAACAATGAAATTGAGATAAATAAAAGGCACTTTTTCGGTTCTTAATATTTCCTCTCGTATTTTCCTTTGATACTCGGCTGAATAACGCGATCAAGAGATAAAACGCACCGAGATCAGGACCGTGCTCGTTCGCTTGGCAAAGATTTCCACGGCGGCCGCCGCTTGTTCGTCCGCTATTCAATATCGATGTCTATGAAGCCAACGTTACCTCAGACTAACAGCGTCGATTTTGCTATGCTTTGCAACGTGGGCGGCGAGTGACACACGCTCGCTTCGTATTGTAGATTATATATTTTTACCAACACCCACGGACTGCCCGCGATAAGTCACCACTGTTACCGTTTTTTCTCATATCTTGATTGGCAGTATTCCATGCCTTCTGATGTCAACACTCATCAAAATACTTGTCATATTATTATAAGCGCCTTGAATTCGAATGTATCTCAGGTCGCCAATGATCAATATCAGGACATGGATAGCTCGAGGACGTCTAAAAGTGATACATGCAATTATTGGCTTAAAGCCTAACATCGTGTATTCCTGTAGTCCGAGACGCTGAACAATAGGAGGACGAGCATTGTGCTGGCTTTATGCATATCGTATCGTTCATCGCGTCGACACATCTCCTATATTATACGACCGCGGCATTCAAGCTTCCCACAAGACCTTATTGCAACCTTATGTCCAAGCTCGAGCCTATAAAATTTACTTGTCCTGTCCAACGAGAGAAATGTAATAACCAGGTTTTGCGTCCATTCTTTTCATTATAAAGGGCTCTGCAATGAAACTAAACGAAAATGTAATTTTTTAAGTAAAAGGTTCGCCACTAGAGCTCAATAGAACCGCACACAAACGGGGCGGCTCGAGAAAAGTTTGAATAATCCCTCAGAGAATGTGAGATAGTGCAGCTCGTCTCCGAACCACTAATCTGCACGATAAAAAGCACTGAGCGACGGGAGTGCTGCTTATACTGTTGACCGTCGATGGAGCGTCCAGATATTTAGCTGAGAGGATGAAAAAGTAAACAAGGACTTTGAGCGCAGCTCTCTGCCACGCTTTGAAGCGGCACGGCGCGGTCCATCGTCTGCCTAATCGTGTATTGCGAAAGCTTCGTTCTTTCACTTTTCGATCTTTGTTTGCTGTATCCTTTATCAAAATTGTTATTTCGTCCAATTACTTTAGAGAAAGTAAGATCTTCTAGATTGAAAGTTCAAAGAGAAGATCAAGAGATCTTTAATTGTGTTCGATGAGGATGACGTACATAACACGAACGATTTCTTTTTAGTATAAAAAAATCTGACGTTAATACAAAAGAGTATTGTGGACGAAATAATAAAAGGTTGTTGGAGTTTCTACAGACGTTATACAAACAGGTATTCCCCTTTAATCGTGGCATTTTGCTCACCATCTAAGTCTAAGTACATGGAAACTTGTCACCGCGCGCTGTAATCGAGGTTTGATCAAACAATCCGCGACTCGTCCTGCAGCCCGCATGCCCTCGCCCCGTTCACCATGTCTGCCATGATTAAGCCTTCAATTACACGATATGACGAGGGGGTCATATTTGATTAGGCGACGTGTTGTGTTGATTAAACTGAGCTTATTACCTTATTCACTTGCTTCACTCGCTCGCATTATACCCGCCAATCAACGTGACATAACCCCAAACCGGATTTTAAACGTCTTCCGCCAATATTAGTTGGTTAACATTAAAGCGACCTTGATAATATGATACGACACTGGTTAAATTCGCACCAAGTCGTTAGAATTCTAGCCAACAAACAGATATTTCGAAAAGTCTATCTAAAAATGTAATTAAGTTGCCTCTTCTTGTCCGTGCCAAAGATTCTAAAAATCCGCTGCATCGATTTGCACAATGAACCCAGGTGATTATGTCATGCATTTGACACAGTCTCGACTAACTCGTTGTGAAATAACCGAAGTTGACGTCAGCCAGGCAACCATTTAATTTACTTATTTTTTTGTTTATCTCTACTTGGCGAGACCTCACGAACTCTTTATAAAAATAATTACTTTTTTTCTCCCTCTTGTGTAACGAATTATTATCTTATCGCTGTGCAACTTCGAGTTTATCGGTGTTTTTTCGCGTGGTACTAGTAGATGCATAGTATTAGAATTTTCGAATCCAACTAGTTATCATCATTTTGTAAAATAATCTTAGAACTATTTACTGGCCGAGTAAATGCTAAGTAGAAGTCATTTTATTTAATTATTTTAAATAGGCAATTTTAATAGTGATGATAATATCATGATAGGATTATAGTATAATCCCTCAGGATCCTAACATTTTTTTCGGAATAAAAATATAATATGTTACAATTCAGGTAATAAATTATATGTGTGCCAATTCCGTTTAGCCGTATTTGCGTGATTCAGTAACAAACATACAAACTGTCACATTTATAATACACATAATGCATCATTTACACAAACTGCAAGTTTTGTCAGATGATACTTATTTTATATGATCATTATGAAATGTATAATTTATTCAAAGACTTGTTATTCCACTTGTTGCTAATAAATCAAATTGGTTATAATTAAGTATTAAAAATCGGTAAAAATTTCAAAAAAGTACTTGTTGTTTAGGTTCTTTGATGAGTATATTAAAAGGATGTGCATGTAACATTTTGTGGTGTGATAAATACTAACCGATTTACCTTATTCCTGTTACTTGGAGGAAAATTAATAAAGGTTTAAGTTTCTGGCAAACATTTACAACATGAGTCACAAAGTTGTTAACGAATTGTTTGCCTACTTCAAGTTTTAATTACTCACTTGCATAGTATCAGTAATGAATGCATCTAGTAGTGTTTATTTTTTTAACGAAACATGATCTTTAACTTTGTTTTCTTACTCGGTTTAAAAATGTGAAATACTTAAGCCATAATCCACGCCTACGGCTCGTTGCGGATTGATATTGCCTTCTGACATTTTAGCCTGTGAATATAACGTTATTTCATTATGTTTCTAAAGAGCGTTGTGCAAAAGATGCTAGTGAAAGTATGTCGCGGGCAACACGGCTTAATGTCTTAACGTGGGTTGCATTGATAGATGCAGCTTGCGAGAGTATCGGTCGCGACGAGTCGTAAACTAATGACAATCTTCTAGACCCCATCTCGTACCGCAAGCTACACAACTGCCTCTTCATTTCAATCGAAATAAGTCCTTATTTACATACAATTACTTTATTGGAATTTTATTTATCCGCAATCCGACTAAAGTTCATATTCAAGAAATACAAAATAAGCCGTTGCGTAACCGGTACAATCCAAAATTAGCCAGCACAGCGAAGTGGCACGCCGCCATCCCTGCTTCTCGGAAAGTATAAATTGCTTCCAGCATTTTCCCTCAACTGCGCCGATATTGCGAAACTTTGGTGTATTTTATTGATTTGTTTTTTTTCTTTCATAAATAAAAAAAACACCAATTCCGATGCACACAATGCCGTTTCTTGCGTTGGAACCACAAAACAC